GGTGACGCCCGTGGCCGCCGAGAGGCCTCTGCTGCGCGCAAAGGCCGCCAGGAGGTTGGACCGGTGGAGAGTGCTGAGAGTCTCCTGTCTCCCAGGGCCCTCCAGCACTTGCTGCGCGAGCCATTCCCGGGTGGACTCGCCCATAGCTCCCGAAACTTCGAAGCCGAGGGGCTGGAAACCAGCGACTCTGTTGTATTTGCGGCGCTTGGCCTGTTCGGCCAGTCTCGCAGCGGTGCCTTGGGCGTGGGCCCCATCCGGCCTGCAGGCTCTTGCGAGGCGGGATGCACGATCGTTAGGTCAAGATAAGCCCACTGGCCGTCACTGTCGGTGCACCTGAGGTCCGCGCGGAGACCCGGATTGCCCGGCCCGGTGGGCGGGCGAATCCATGGCTCGTCTGCGATGTCGCAAATGCCGGCTTCACGTAGGGCTCGCGCGACGGTGTCGCGCAGGTTGTTGTGCCTCTTAACCATGAAGCCGCCGTAGGCGCAGCAAAGCGCGTGGCGTCCGTTAGTGTCGACGGTGCCGGCGCAGAGGGTTCCGTCCTCCTTTCTGAAGGGACAGGGGCCGTCAGCTGCGCGTACAAGACCTCCGAGTCTGTGTCTCACGGCCATCCTGAAGTGGGCGTCAGCGAGGTGGTGGTCGGGCCGCGTGGGCGGCCCGAGCCACGCGCCTGCTCCCTTGCCTGTCGTGCTAGGAGCCCAGGCCCGTTGGTGCGGTTCCGTCTGGGTACGTCGTAGCCACTGCGTCCAACCTCTGCGTGCCGCCTGTGCCTGGTAAAGCGCCGCTGGGTGGTGTCGGGCGGCTCCGTGTCGGGCGCCTGCTGTGCTGCCTCTTCCTGCGTCAGTGCGTTGACACTGCTCTGGAGGCGGTGGAGCGCTGGTCTCAAGCCCGGGTAATAATGGAGAAGGTCATCTCTGTCGCGGAGGACCACTCGTTGGAGCACTGGCTTCTCGCAGAGTGCCCACGAGGCCGCCTGAGCATCCAGGCGCACTGCGCTCACGCTCTGGAATCCCAAGCCGCCCAAAGCGACACTAGCTCCCCCAGTGTGCTGAGTAGGTCGGCGTCGAGCTGGGTCGCCGTTTGGGCGGGAACCCCAGTGGTGCGCATGTGCCACGTCATGTCTCTTGCAGTGAGGGTTGGTAGTAGTACCAAAGACGTCTGAACGTCTAGGCCGGCTTTGTGAAGGTCCATGAGTCTGGCCATGGCAGTCGTCCTCCTGGTTCGTTGGCGCTGTAGTCGCGGCGAGGCGGGTGACTGCAGGCTGCCCTCCTCGGCGTGCTGGTCGGCGGTTACCGGCGTCGGTGACAAGCCGGAGTAGTCGTCGGCATGTTGTCGTAAGATCGTGGGCTGCTCTACTCGCGGCACGGGTAGGCCTGCTAGTATCGCGGCAGGATTCCTCGCCCACACCTCACATTTGTCGACGCGTGTTTGGAGGCCGGCTTGGCTCAGTGAGTTGGTGTAGGCTGCGTATATGGTGGGCAGGTCTTCAGGCTTCGCAAGGATGGTGAGGTCGTCGATGTAACCGACAAGCTCGTGCTGTATACCTGCTGCGTCGAGTTGGTGTTTGGCCCTCTCGAGGGCTCGGTCGAGTCCGAGGCAGAAGAGCGTGGTGGCCATGCCTCCTCCTCCTCCTCCTCCTCCTCCTCCTCCTCCTCATCCTCATCCTCATCCTCATCCTCATCCATCCTCATCCATCCTCATCCTCCTCCTCATCCTCCTCATCCTCCTCCTCCTCCTCCTCCTCCTCCTCCTCCTCCTCCTCCTCCTCCTCCTCATCTCATCATCATCATCATCATCATCATCACATCATCATCATCATCATCATCATCATCATCATCATCATCATCATCATCATCATCATCATCATCATCATCATCATCATCATCATCATCATCATCATCATCATCATCATCATCATCATCATCATCATCATCATCATCATCATCATCATCATCATCATCATCATCATCATCATCGTCAAGGCCGAGCTTTGCGCCACAATATTTCCCGTATAAATGGGTGTCCCAGAGGGGGGGGGGGGGCACCCCGCAGGGAATATGTGGGCAACATTGCTTGCCGTCGATGGCAACAAAACCCTCATCCACGTAATCTTTTCTCCTCCCCCCTCATCCCTCCCACCCTCCCTCCTCCTCCCTCTTTCTCTTCCCTCCTCCTCCTCCCTCCTCCTCCCTCTTCCCTACTCCCGCCTCCATCCTCCCTCCTCCCTCGTCCTCCCTCCTCCCTGTTCCTCCTCCCTGTTCCTCCTTCCTCCTCCCTCCTCCTCCCTCCTCCTCCCTCTCATCCTCTCTCCTGCTCCTTTTCCTCCTCCTCTTCCCCCTCCTCCTTCCCCTCCTCAACCCTCCCTCCTCCCCCCCTCCCTACCCCCCCCTCTACCCTCCCGGGCAGTCCACGGCCGCGAGCAAAGCGGTGGCCTGCTGCAGCGCCTCCTCCTCCCGCTTTTTCCTTGGAGAGCACGCGCGGGCTGTGCGCGCGCAACAAATTCCCATGGGCGTCCGAGGCGCTGCCGCTTGGAGGAACATGGCCCCAAATCTCCGACGATATGGTTTTTCAATCCGGGCGTGTTTCCTCGATTTCGGCCGCAGGGTTAGGCCAGGCATCTCCTCCTACAGGCGGATTTGGAAGAAAAGTAACCAATAGCCAAACAACACTTAAACAAATCAAACATAATAGAAACATGTTGGGGGGGGAGTCGGAACCACACCAATGTAATATCTGGAATACCAGAACAAAACAATCCATACTGATGTTGAAGTGCGGCCGCCGTTACAACGCTCGGGGCAGCAATGGCTTCTGCGCCGTGACGAAGTGCAAGTGCTGGGCTGAAGGACTGGAGCACCACCCATGAGTTTAGTGGCGGTCAGCATGTCTGACTGGCCCCAATTGAGGGGAGGGCGGTAGGCTACGTGCATGCAGGAGGGCCCACCTACGGCAGCAGACAGGCAAACAAATACCCTCTGCTTCTGCAGCATCCAGTCTGGAGTCAATTGAGACCGTCAAGGGGGGGAAAGACGCGCGAGAGCACAGACGGACGCACGACGAGCGGGGGCGAGAGGCCGAGGAAAAGAATAGGGACGACGAGAGGGACGACGGAGGACGCGCGAACGGGGTTGCCTGGAATCTTGCAGGCGCCGTGCATAAGCGAGAGTGGGGCCCGGATAGCTCTTGCACATAGCGCCACTGCTGGTCTGGATACAGCTGAGACCGCCCAGCAGGGAGGAATGACGCACGAGAACAGAAAGGGGCGCGCGACGAGCGGGAACGAGAGGCCGAGGAACAGGAGAGGGAAAAACGAACGACGAGGGGCGACGGAAGACACGCGAGCGGGGTTGTTGGCAGACATGCCGGCGCGGCGTGTAAACAAGGATGGGGCCCAGATGGTCTGGATACAACTGAGACCGCCAAAAGGGGGGGGAGCAAAAGAGGAGAGGAGAAAAGAGGAGGGGGAAGCGGGAAGTCATAACGCCGCGCGTCGACACGCGGCCTCCGGGCCCAGGAGGAAGCAGGGCAAGGAGGAGGAGGGGGGAAAAGGGCCCCTCACGACCGCTCCAAGACGGTCTCAGAGGCCCCCAAGAGGCGCCCAAGACGGCCCATGAGATTCCCAAGACTGCCCCAAGAGGGGCCCAAAAGGGGCCCAAGAGGGGCCCAAGAGGGGGAACAGGAACTGACAACTCGAGTCTTCTGCCCCAAGAAGCACCCAGGAGGCCCAGAGAGGCCTCCAAGAGGCCCCCAAGAGGCCCCATGAGGCCCTCAAACGGCTCTCGGAAGGCCTCAAAACTGCCTCCAAGAGGGCCTCGAGAGGCCTCCAACGATAGCCCAACGAACATCTAAGAGGTCCTCTAACCCACAAACCAGGCACGAGGGAGCGTGTGCGTGTGCGTGTGCGTGCGTGTGCGTGCGTGTGTGTGAATGTGTGTGAATGTGTGTGTGTGTGAATGTGTGTATGTGTGTGTGTGTGTTTGTGTGTGGTGTGTTTGTCTGTATGTGTATGTGTATGTGTATGTGTATGTGTGTGTGCGTGTGTGTGTGGGTGTTTGTGTTTGTGTTTGTGTTTGTGTTTGTGTTTGTGTGTGTGCGGGTGCGCGTGCGTGTGCGTGCGCGTGTGTGTGTGTGTGTGTGTGTGTGTGTGTGTGTGTGCGTGCGTGCGTGCGTGCGTGCGTGCGTGCGTGCGTGCGCGCGTTCGTGTGCGCGCGTGCGTGCGTGTGCGTGCGTGCGTGCGTGCGTGCGTGCGTGCGTGTGTGTGTGTGTGTGTGTGTGTGTGTGTGTGTGTGTGTGTGTGTGTGTGTGTGTGTGCGTATGTGTGTGTGTGTGTGTGTGTGCGCGTGCACGTGTGCGTGTGCGTGTGCGCGTGCGTGTGCGTGTGCGTGTGCGTGTGCGTGTGCGTGTGCGTGTGCGTGTGCGCGTGCGCGTGCGCGTGCGTGCGTGCGTGCGTGCGAGCGTGCGTGCGTGCGTGCGTGCGTGCGAGCGTGCGTGCGTGCGTGCGTGCGTGCGCGCGTGAAAGTGCGCGCGTGCGCGCGTGCGGTGTGTGTGTGTGTGTGTGTTAGTGTGTGTGTGTTAGTGTGTGTGTGTGTTAGTGTGTGTGTGTGTTAGTGTGTGTGTGTGTGTGTGGGGTGTGTGTGTGTGTGCGTCTCTCTCTCTCTCTCTCTCTTTCTCTCTGTAACTCTCACTCCTCTCTCTCTCTCACGCACACCACTGCTGGGAAACGCGAGGGGCCACGCTGAGTACTGTCTCGCCTCCGCACATGCCCCGCAGCACCCCCCCCAAATTTTGTAACCCCGGCTTCCGTCGCTCTGCCCTCTGCAACTTCTGCAGCAGCTTCCGCCGGTCCCTCTGAGTGCTGGCCGCCTGGCAGTTCACAAGGGCCCCGAGCCCGAGAACGATCAGCTGGTCGTTGAGCGCCTTCTCGACTGCATGCCTGCCCTGGCCCTCTTGCGCGCCGGCCGCGATGACATTGCCGCGGGCGGTGATGATCCTGGCGCGGATCACGGACGTGTGGAGAATCTCCTTCAGAGTCCCAATAGCTCATGGGGCGTTCAGAGGAGAAACGGGAACCACTCGTCCTTCTCTCTACGAAGGGGCAGAAGGGGATCGGAAGAAGAAATGCTTCATACCACGTACGCCTCGCAAGAGAAACGGTGACCACCGCCACCGAGAACCATCTGGGGGGGGGGGCGACCCCTGGGCGGAGGCACGCCCAAGCATCGTCGAGTACAGTACGACGCGCGGGCGTGCCATGGCCGAGGGGTCGGTCCGCCCCCGATGGGTTCTCGATGGCGGTAGTCCACGCTTCTCTTCCGAGGAGCAGGTGGTATAGAGTCAGAACGTGTCATAAGGACGGGTGGTAATGACGCAAAACCCTTGGAGGCCGAAGTTGGGATCTTTTGGGCGGCGGGCGACCAGTGAGAACGGCAAAGGACGGGCCGCAGAGGCAAGGACTCAAGTGTACCCTAGATGAAGGCGCCTGTCCTTACTAGATGCCTTGACTGTAAAGCACTTCATCTTCCGACCCCCTTCTGCCCCTTCCTGGAGGAATTCGCACCTCCCCCTGTTGACATGATATTGGCGCCCTTTGAAAGCTCTCTCAAGGCGTCTTGGAGCCTGAGGAACCCTCCTGGGACCGTCTTGCGACCAGCGCGAAATCTGGTACAATTGGTATTCTTAGCATTTTCGCGATTCGGAGCTCTCCTGGGGCCCTCTGGGGTTGCTTGTATGGGTCCCCTGGGGGCTTCTGGGTCCGTTTTGGTGCCTTCCTGGGCCCTTCTGGGAGACCAGAGAACGATAAAGAATAACAAATGATGAACTACTTTTGGGGGCCATGCTGGGAAGGCTCCGTGGTCACCTCGGACTGTATTCTGGCTGTCTGGAAGCCATTTGGAGGCCTAGTGCAAACCATCTTGGACCATCGCGGATCATCATGGTGTCTATCTTGAAGGTCGCCTCGCCTGCTCTGTCCTCGAACCCAGGACGGGGGCAACACACGCCAGACACGCGGCCGAAGAGCAGCTGGAGAGTCTAACCCGTCCTATATGAGGCAGTCAACGTCGCAAGACCTCATCCTTGCTGTTGATTGGATGCGACTGGCATTCTGGCGCGGCGGCCGCACCTGGCCAACCGCGGTGAGAAGGACGAAACACAGAAGAAAATCCTTGGTGGTCTGAGCATCGGATCGCAGGGAAAGGGGAGACCGATGGGACCCTTATCGACCTCGTTCTGGGTGCTCTTGGGGCCCTGTTGGAGTCCTGTTTGGACCTTTGGGGGGCTTTCTTGGGCCTACACTGGGGCTTCTTGTAAACTGATGGACGCTCCTGAAATTGTCTTGCGACCAGCGCAAAGTCCGGAACAGTTGGTCAGCTTATCCTTTTTGCCACTTGGAGTTGTCCTGGGGCCGTTTGTGGGCCCTGCCCGCTTGGGGCGCCTTTGAAGCCAAAGCCATTGGACCATGTCTTAGAAACCTGACCGTACAAGAACAGGAAGCGTCGCTTTTGTCCACTATGTATGTGAAATGTGTTTTTTGTTGGTCTGCCGCGCAGATATGTCGTGGCGTGCGTGCGTTTGCGCGCGCGCGCGTGCGTGCGTGGAATATGTGCATGTGTGTCCGTGCGTGGTGGTCTGCGGCACTGCTGTGTTATACCGTGCTGCTCTGCCGTGCTCCTTCGGTCTGCGTGAACGTATGTTGCCTCTCTGTGTGTGCGTGTTTGTGCGTGTGCGTATGTGTCTGTGTGTGCGTGTGCGTGCATGTGCGTGTGCGTGTGCGTGTGCGTGTGCCTGTGTGCATGTGCCTATGTGCGTGTGCCTGTGGGTGCCGCTGTGTGGATAGATGTTCTATGTGTTATGCCGCGCTCCTGCGTGTTCTGCCGTGTTCCTGTGTATTATGCCATGGTCCTGCCCTGCCGTGTTCCTATGACTTCGACCATGCTCCTGTGCGTTCTGTCGTGTTCCTGTGTGTTCTGCCGTGCTCCTGTGTTTTCTGCCGTTATCCTTTATGTTTTGTAATTTTGCCGTGCTCTTATGTGTTATGTCGTGCTCCTGTGTCGTGGTCAGCCGTGCTCCGATGTATTATGTATGTTATGCCGTGCTCCTCGTGCTCCTGCGTGTTCTCTCGTGTTCCTACGTGGTCTGCCGTACTGTTGCTTGTTCTGCCGCGTGCTCTACCGTGCTCCTGCGCGCTAAAGTTAAAGTTAAAGACGGGGCCTTCAAGGCGGAGTGGCGGGGCCAAAAGGCCAAGACAAGGACACGCTCTCCCGAGGGGGGCCGCCTAGGGCCGCCTCTAGCCGCGGGGGCCGCACTGGGCCTTCACCGCGCGGCACCGCAGGCGAGAGCAGATCTACGCACAGAATGCAACTGCCCGCCTCACTTTTCACTCTTGGGCCGCGTCATGCGACGCGCACGGTCCAAGAGAACATCGAGGAGCCGCTGGCGCTCCTCGGCATCTGGGCAACCTGCACCTCCGAAGCGGACGCCGAGGGCGCGGGCCTCGGCCAAGTCCAGGAGTGACTCAACTCCCGACTTCGGCCCCTTGGCCGCACGCGCCACCGCCGCCGCCGAGAAACCGCCCAGGAACGAAACGAACACGCCCTCCGAGCTCGAGCGGCCCTCGCCCTCGGCGCAGTCGACGCTGTCCGCGACCAGGGGCGGCTCCATGTCGTCGCTGACGACGCTGCTACCGCCCAGGTGCGGCACGACGTCGTCGGCAAACTCGACGGGCCCACGCGTAGACGGCCTCGAAGAGTCAGCGTCGCCGGCACCCGCCAAACCGCCCACGCTGGCGCGACCGCCAGCACCAAGCTCTGCACTAGCACGTCCCAAGACGGGAGGCAGCGGCGCGCAGCCTGCAGCACCTCCAGGGACCTTCTGCGCCCCGAGGGCGGCGGCCACGGAGCAGGAAGAAAACGCCACTGCGCCACAATTGCACCGCATGCCCTCGAAGTCGCGCAAACAGTATGGCTCGGCCGAAGATCTCAGTGGCGTGCGCCTCCGCAGCGGCAGACCGCCCACGAGCTTCGGCAGCGGCTCAGCCTCGCAGATCTCCACGTCGATGCCCAGGCCACCTAGCCGAGAGACACAAACGCCGTGGTCGCCCACACTGCGGGCACCCCTCTCCTGCGACCCCAGGCGTTGACCCTTCTGGGCCTTCCCCTTCCTGAGGGGTGCTGCCGCAGCGGAGGCGATCGACAGCCCCCCGTCGGCCTCGGCATGGAGCGCCACGTTGCGCCGTAGCCGCTCCAACCAGGTCGGCTCATCCCCCCGCACAAGCGCAGCCAGTGCTGGGATTGCCGCCTGGACCCGATCCGCCAGCCCTGGCACGCCGACGAGCAAGTCGAGGGCGGCCTCCACCGCGCGCAGGCGGGTCTGGGCCTCGCCAGCAGCCTCCAGGGCACGCCGCACGGCCGCATCAGCAGCCGCTCGGGCGCGCCGCGCCGCCTCGCCTCGCTCGCGCCGCGAGCGGGGGAACCGCAGAGGGCCCCCTCCCGTGACCATCCCTCGCCCAAGCAAGCTTGAACCGAGCTGGCTTGAACCAAAATGGCGACGGATGTGCTCCTGCGTGCTCTGCCATGCTCCTGCGTGTTCTGCCGTGCTCCCATGTGTTCTGCGGAACTCCTGTGTATTCTGCGGGGTTATGCCGTGCTGCTGCGTGTTAAAGTTAAAGACGAGGCCTTCAAGGCAAGCGGTGGCCAGAAACGCAGACAGGGCCAGACGGGACCCGCGTTCCCGAAAGAAGCCGAGTCCAGAGACACGCCCTCCCAAGAGGGGCCACCTGGGACCGCCTCCCGACACGGGCCAGGGAAGGCGGACGGCAAAGCCACTGGCTCTGGCCCCCAACCCGCCCAAGCCAATCATGCAAGCACTGCGAGAACAGAAGCTACGCATGATCACAACCCAAGCTCGACTGCATTGCAAATACACCACGTGCACATTCAAACGCAGGAGACATAACCCACTGAACAACCACAGCCCCCCACCTCCAATGGGGAACAGACGTGCAAGGCGAACCATCACTCAGAAGGCATTCCGAACACGCAGGGAAAAGACGTCTCACAATGAGCACCACCCACGCTGCTCCAACCACTCCTCGATTCCAAGCCTGGAGGCAGCGGCGCCCCGCCTGCAGCACCTCCAACGCTGGCTCCTTCATCCGAGGGCGCCTGCGCCGCCGCGGAATCAGCTGTGGGCAAAGCGCGGGCGACGGCCGCTCTCGCACGCCACCAATCACGAGCCGCGACCTCGCCTCGAGCCCTGGCGCCGCCGCCCCCACGGAAGAGGGCCTGTGGGAAGGCGTCGAGGTACGCGGCGGCGGCGGCGGCAGCAACGCGTCCAGCAGGTTCGGCAGCTGGCTGCTCCCCAACCGAGCAAGAGGTGGCCACGTCGGCCTCGCCGTCAAAGATCGCGCCGTCGGAGTCGGCGCACTCGCCAGCAGCGCGCGGCGGCGCCGCCAGAGCGCCCGCGGCCTGCGCGAAGTCCACCTCGCAGTCAACCTCCGACGCCCCAGGGGAAAGAGGGGAAGGCACGTAGCAATCGCCGATGCGGGCGCCACGCCCAACGCGGGCGCGCCCAGCCAGCCCGAACCCCATGTTAAGCTGCTGCTGCGCCTCGCCGCACTCATCGACGTCGATCTGGGCCTGCATCACCTGGGCGCCGCCGCCGCCGGCAACGGGGCCACCCCCAGCTGGGGCGAAGGGCCTCGCAGCCGACCGCAACGCCGCGCGGAGGGCCTCGACTCGGCCAAGCTGCGGCAGCGCCTCCGCCTCGCAAATCTCCACGTGGCACTCGATCTTGCGCTCTCGCCTCGCCTCCAGCCTGGCGGGCCGCTGGGGCCGCCGCAGGGTGAGGCCACGCGCCGACGCAACCCTGACCCCAGGGGCGTCGGCGTGGAGAGCCACACCCCTCCGCACTGCAACCTCCTGCTCGGGGGCCACTCCCCGCAGCAAGGCCGTCAGCGCGGGCGCGATCGCCTCCGGGCGGTCGGCCAGCTCGGCGTCGCCCACGTAGGACGCGAAGCACCG